ACACCTCTCCTGGCTGGGCAGGTGTTCCTTGCTGTGGTTTCAGGAACCTGAGCCACACACTGCCTCTCCCTGCCATTGCCAGGTGGTGGGAGGGGCAAGCTCTTTATTTGCTGGGGTTGTTTTTTGCCTTTACTTTTATTTATCTAAAAACAAATATATAACACCTCTTCTCAGGACAGGAGACTGAGTCACACTGCCTCTCTCTGCCATTGCCAGGTTGGGGGGGGAGGAAGCTATCTTTATTTATTATTTGCTGGGGTTGCCTTCACTTTTATTTATCAAAAAAGAAACCTACAAACAACAAACAACACCTCTGGCTCATGGCAGGAGGGACTGAGCCATAGTAGCCTCTCTCTGCCACTGCCTGTTGAGGGGGGCAAGCTATCTTAAGAGAGTCAGTTTGGTGTAGTGGTTAAGTGCGTGGACTCTAATCTGGGAGAACTGGGTTTGATTCTCCACTCCTCCACTTGCACCTGCTGGATGACCTTGGGCAAGTCATAGTTCTGGCACAGCTGTACTTGAAAAAGAGCAGTTTCTGTCAGAGCTCTCTCAGTCCCACCTACCTCACAGGGTGTCTGTTGTGGGGAGGGGAAGGGAAAGGAGTTTGTAAGCCACTCTGAGACTCCCTTGGGTAGTGAAGGGTGGGATATAAATCCAGTCTCTTCTTCTTCTTAATTATTTCCTGGGGGTCTCAGGGCTTTGGGCCATATTCATGTCCTTGTCAGGTGTGACCACATCCCCCACAATGGGAATATTAACCTCCCCCCTTTCACAAGCTGCCTGGGGGTTTCGGGACTTTGGGCCACATTCCTGTCCGTGACATGTGCGACTGCACCCCCGCGATGAGAATGTTAACCCAGGCAGCTCATGACTGGGGGTCTCAGGACTTTGGGCCACACTCCTGTCCATGTCAAGTGTGACTGCACCCCCAAAATGGGAATCTTAATCTCCCCCCCCCCAAGAGTCGTCTCTCCAAGCCTCCTCCTACTCTTTCCTATTGGGGAAATGGATTCTAGGTTCCTTCATTCTTTCCCAGAGCTACGTTTCAGACTTGGCGTGTCTTCCTTCCAGCTCGAGGGCCACTCTGGGACTCACTAGGCCACCCCAATGGAGAGATGGATTCGGGTGGAGCTGCTCTTTTCTGGGGCTTGGTTTATGACTTCCCCCAAAGAGAATATCCCCCCCCAGGACTCACCCACCCCACTGTGAGATGGATTCTTGCTGTGACTGTGTCACTGTCACCTGGGGAATCTGTCTCTTCCACATGCTTAAAGGCCTTTCTTGGGCTCTGGGTGTTCCAGTTCTGGCCATCCCTTCAGAAGGCCTTCCCCTCACCCACCCCATAGGGGAGATGGATTCTGTGGGCATTGCCACTTGCCATCTGCGCTCTCCCAGGGCTACTGGGATTTTGGCTGTGGCCCCTTCCCTCCCACATATGCCTCTTTCCCCTCAGGACTCAGCGCTTCCAGCATCCCCCTATCAATGTACGCCTTCCCCATGCCTTCGCGTTCCCCCAAGAATTGTCACCTCCTCAACAGTTGTGTCCTACCAAGACCCAAGGTCTACCTCATAGACAACACCTACCTCAGGAACCAAGATCTACCTCATAGCACAAGACCTACCTCGTATACTGACATCTGCCTATGCAAAGCCCTACCTTGTCAAACAGTCACCCTTAGAAGCAAGCTTGACTGCACCTGAGGTTTCCTCATATACAGCAACAATGGGTGGGTGACTGCCTCCCAAGACCATGGGGGAATGTGGCGGGCTACCCCCACCCCAGGAGCTTGTTGCCATTGGGAGGCAGGTGGGGGACTGCCTCCTAGGCCTGCAGGGAAGGGCCACCCACCCTCAGAATCCATTTTCGCAACATGATGGGTGGGTGCCTGCCTCCCGAGACCGAGGGGGAGTGTGGTGTGACATTGGACCCCACCCCAGGATCCTGTTCCCAGGGGACATCTCCTCGAAAGCCAAACTGCGCACAACCTGGAGGGCAGGTGGAGGGGTGTTCAGGGAAGTCCTTTGTGAGTTGGATGCCTCTACCTTGCATGGGGGCAACTTGGCACACTCCTAGGACAGCATTTTCCTGGGGCATCTGCTTTGAGGGGCTGTAACTTGCCCCCTCCCAATCCAATTCTGACCAAACGTGGAGAGCAGGTAGAGGAGAGTCAGCTGGAGACTTGCTGTGCATTGGTGTCTCTAGCCCACTGGGAGGCTATTGTACCACCTCCCAAACTCATGAACCGAACAAACCACGAACCAGTTTAGGAAACAGAAAAGTTAATGGAAGCTCATTTAATCAAAGCTGAAGCTCATTTAGTCAAATGAACCACAAACCCCAACAAACCACCATTTTCCCAGTTAGTGTCCATCCCAAGTGGGTGGAAATACCACTCCACCACTACTTCCTACTTGCCGCCAGTGCTTTCAGATCCTCCTTTGTTAATCCTGCAGCACTACTTGCCACTACCTACTTGCCACCAACACAGCCCACTGCATAGCAGCCTTCTCAGCTTCATTTGAATTATTAATAAACTTCCAGTGCCTCAAAACAGGGAGATATTAATTCATTCTCCAATTCTGATAGCAGTTTGGATTTGTCACTATCCAGTGTTGTTTTGGTCCCCAATTCTGTATCTCTAGGCTCTTTGAACAATTCACCCATATGACTGCTATGTGTGGCCTGAAAACCAATCCTGTCATGAGCAATGTTCCCTCTAAACTGTGGAGTCTTGTGAGCAAAAAATCTACTTTGTGAGCTACTAGCATTAAAGTTGTGAGCGAGTGATTTGGCTACTGCATAACCTAGTTTGCTCTGGAGCCATCCTTCCTGAGCTGAGACAAAAATGTGTGAGCTGGAGGCTAAAAAAATGTGAGCTAGCTCACACTAACTCAGCTTAGAGGGACCACTGGATGAGGCAGGCCCAGTCTTTAGAATCATGGACTCAGATTCACATGTCCTAGTTTCACTCCTGATGATTTCATTGCTGCTGGAAACATCCTGTGTTCCACCTACATCCAAAAGAATAGAAAACCTTTATAGAATGCAAGAGGACAGCTGTAAATTCATCTCCTTTCATCTCCCACTAATCTCCATCATAATTGAAGTGTCCTAAGGAAAGGCTATCAGATTTTTCATTCTGTTCCATCTGAAAAAGAAAGTGGAATGGAATGGGAAAGAGAGTGTACGCCTCAAGGTATCAAATTATCCGGACTGTATGGTGAGATAGCAACACTTTATCTGGGCCCAGATCTTACCACTGTTTGACAACATTCCTGAGGAGGTTAATCAAACTGCACTGGTCTTTACATCTTACACAACAACAGCTCATCAAGATATGTAGCCGATTTTGAGGCTAAGACCACGGCAGCTGTTATTGCAGTATGACACCATCCATCACTTCACTCTTCCTCTGTGCATCATGAGAGTAGGGACAGATTGAACAGTTGTCCTTTGTGGGGAAGGCTTTTTCAGCGAGAAGACTGACAAAACACTTAAGTTGTGCTCCAAGGCTCATTCCATGGGCCTTCTTACTTCTTTCTTCAAGTAGCAGAGACAGTACTCCTTGAATCCTGCTCCTAGATGTATAAGCTTCACTTGTGTGACATTGGACCAGTTCTGCTTTTATAAGTCCTCCATAATTCATAAGACTTTGTTCTCCTTGAAATCTTGCTTTTCTGCACCTCAATCCAAGGGCTCTTCGGGATCCAAGCAGGGCTTTTGAGGTATTTTAGACTGTAAGGAGGTCAAATCAGTCAATCCTAAAAGAAATCAACCTTGACTGTTCCCTGGAAGGCCAGATACTGAAGCTGAAGCTCAAATACTTTGGCCACCAAATGAGAAGGGAGCACTCACTGGAGAAGACCCCGATGCTGGGAAAGATTGAAGGTAAACGAAGAAAGGGACAGCGAAGGATGAAATGGTTAGACAGTGTTATCGATGCAATGAACAGGAAGTTGAGCGAACTCTGGAGGACGGCGGAGGACAGGAGGGCCTGGCATGATGTGGTTCATGGGGTCGTAAAGAGTCAGATATGACTGCGACTGAACAACAACAAAAAATGGTCATCTCTACACTCACATGACCTGCTTACTTTCCCTGCAACAGATGATTTTAACTTGTTGTGGTGTAGTCTTAGGTTTTGGAAGGAGCTGAGCAGGAAGATGGGATTCTTCCCCTTGGGCATGAATTCTCCAACTCTAAATGCTAGCTCTAGAGGTTTCTGAATCAAGGCTCTGTGTAGGTGCAAAGCCTATTAGTGGGAATTCAAAGATGAGCCCTCAAAGAATAACAGTTCAGTTAAGGTAAGCAATCAGTTTTTCTAGTGCAGGAAGTCCTATCATGAAGTCAACATTTATGCTGACTGTGGTATGTTGGTAGCCATTTAGTAACTTCAGAACTAGCATTCTTGTGAAGAACCATTTTGTTGTGTAAAACTTTCCCCTGTCACTTTGACAGTTCTCCCATTTCTTAATTAATCAAACTGGCATTGATCACTGAAATGGAAAACTAGTCTCCTACATCTGTAATGATACAGCAGATGAGCTCCAATTCAGCCTTCACTACTGATTTATATTCTCTCATAACATCTGGGGATTTTTTCTGTTATGGCTTGATATTCCCTAATATGTGTTCCTAAGAGCAGTCACTTCTCTGTATACAGTTGAGTTATTTTTCCACATGTTTTTTCTGGCAGTGATTGTCATTGATTTCTGCAGTGTAAGACAAGTTTATATATAGAGAACCCAGAAATTTCAGGATCTGGGCTGGGTGTGTGAAAGCTGGCAGAGTGGGCAGGAACTTAGCCATGATTATTATGCTAGTTTGAGGGGGGGGGAAGTAAGGGCCATCTTCCAATTTTTGACATCATGCTAGCATTTCTGCAAACCTTTCACACAAAAGCTAAGCTCAATAAAATGGTTATGCATAAAGCATTTTATGTAATGTGAACTTCAATTTAGTTACATTGTTATTATATTCTCAGGACATTTATGGTTGATCCAACCAAGACTGATCTTGAAGCCTCACCTGTTCAGGAAATCACTTGTGATGAAAGAAGTCATCTCCATGAAGGAAAACGAAGAATCCCTGCTCTGTTTCTGGTCTAGCTCTTCAGCATTTGACATGTGAAGTCTGTATTATAGCAAAGACATATTTCTAGGCTTTGCAAAACAACTGAAATGAATAGCTGACATTTCACAGAAACTGTCAACTTCACTAGGTTGCTCAAGAGTTTTCTGTAGTCTAGAAGAGATTGTGCATACAGGCACGGGCAAAAGCCAGTACTGATTGGTATTTACCCCTTTTCAAAATACCTTGGTTAACTGGCCACTCTCTACATAACCCTTGGAGAATCTAGCAAACTGATGAGTCTTCTGAACATGTTGCAAGACTTTTAACATGGAAGTCTAAGCGGTAAGCTAAGTAGGATGTATGTATGTGTCATTTAAAGTGAGGAATAACATTTTTCTTAAAATACTCTCTGAAAAATACCTCAGCTGGGATTTTTCAGCCCATAAAGGTTACCAATTTATAGATAACCATCTGGCTGTCTAGAGCAGCTTGTGCAGAGAAACTTTGGCATTTTGTCCACTGTGTCTAAATGCATCCTTGCTTTTGAAAGAAACCCAGCAAATCTGCACATATATATCTACATATTTGCTGGAAAGGAGATGTTGCTGTTACTCTGACAGATCCCTTCTCAAGGTGAAGCTCTGATTTAAAAGTACATGCAAGCAAGCTGAGGGGCATCGGGGGGAGGGGGTTAAGTGACATCTCCAGTTGTCCCTACAGAATTAAGGAGCAATAGCTTTTTCCAGTTTTTTACCCCAGCTTTTACCCCAGAGAGAACACATGTGATAATGTAAAAATATATGTAAAATTTCCCACCATTTAGATTAACAAAGGCCAGACATGCTCAGGAAGGGCTTCTTCACTGCTTCCATTGGTGTCTCTACCCGCAGTTAAGGTGGAAGTTGTGATTCTAACATTGTTTACACAGGATCCTTTTTTGTCTGTTGTGTGTGACCTTTATGGGACATTTTGCTTTAGCATGGGATAATAGATAATTGCCAGGATTGGTGGCTTCCTGGCATAGAGGTCTTATCTATTTATGCTGAACCTGGAATCCTTAGTAGTGCACCTTACTTCAGTCTTATTAAGTGTGAATTTAGAACAGGTTTGCAGCTGCTTAAAAATCCCTGATCAGGATGAAAATGGTGGCACATATTCTACTAACTGTCAACATTGGCTAACAAAATTCTTAGAACTGCCTAAGATCTACTCATAGGTAGCAAGGGTATTATTTTCTGGCATGGACATCAGTGTCTGATGAGATTAGACAACATATTCTCCTTTCTTTAAACAAAAAAAAATAGTTGAATAAATGGACCATACCATTAACTAAGCACTTGTATTGACTCATCCATTGGCATTGTGTACGATTGCCATAATATAAAAATGCAGCGGAATTCTTATGGACATATATTCAGCTGCTTTCCTTTATCAAGCTGAGAACAATGTTGGAATAGGACTTTGCAACACAGCGGAACATAAGTTGGCTCTCTTGCCAACTACAGGAAAATGGTTATGGTTATCATTGAGAGTGGCATTTTTTAAAGTACTTTGGAATCCAAATAAAAATCATTAGGCAATTAGTATGATTTAAGGATATTCTGAACAGGAATTCTTGTCTAGGTGCAGGGTCTTCTAATTGGTAAGAAAATTATTATGTACAGCCATGAAACTGAAAACTTAGACACATCCAGCAGTATGATGGCTTGTTGACTGGTCTACAGACTCCAAATTGTCGTCTTAACATCATAGGCTGTTACAGGCTGAGATTATTGGTGGGTTTTATCATGATGTCAGTTCAGAATGAATACAACTGAAGGTCAATATTTGTCATGCAGACCTTCAGTAAAAGAACCCTTCCTCCCTTTTTCCTCTAGGCCCTTTTCTAACCATGAACGTATTTGTGCGTAATAGGGCTATATTAGGATTGAAATTGGAGTCTCAGAAAAGTCTTCTGTGCATTCCCAGGAAACCCCATCACAGTACGTGTCCTGTAGCATCTTCTTAATTGTACTGTGCAAAGGCAATACTGCCTTAATCTTTTGGTTTTATATTTTGGTCTCCATGTCGGCAGGAAACTTTTCCATATGATAGATTAAACAAACACGGGCATGTGCAATAGTATAATATATATACATATAAATATATTTTAATACTTGTGGACAAAAAGTTACAAGTTGTTTGAGAACAACAAAATCACCAATGTCTTCCATTTTGAGATGTGTATAGTTCCATAAGCATTAGTGCTTTGTAGCAAAACTGTAGTGCCATGTTAGGATCAGTGCATGAGCCTAGTAGTACTTTTTTTACAATTTCAGAGTGACAAATAACACTGGTGATGTAACTAATAAGAAACAGACAAGATTATGTTTATGATATAAAGATGCAGTGTCTTCTCTAGGCAGTGGTAGCAGAAACTATGGTATAAAACAGTAATGTGAGTTTGAAATTGTGTGGAAATTATACTTGCATGCAGCCAAGTACATTTTAGTGGCATTTGAAATAAACTACAGGTAAAATCCAGAATTCAGTGGCACAGTCTTTAGCAAAGGACTTTATTTATGAGCAAATGCTTGTTCTAATGGACTCCACAACTCCACTGATCACTTTTACTCTAAAATAGGGGTCCCCAACGTGGTGTCTTTGGGTGCCATGGCGCCCACGAATACCTTTCCTAGTGCCCACCAAATTATGTTAGAAAGTTCATGGGGCCAGGTCAAGCGCTCGCCCAACAAAACTTCTGATTGGCTGAGCAGATTGAAATAACATCGTTTCAATGGCACCTCCCACCAGCTTTAGTTTTATTCTCTCTGTCCTCTTTTCCAGTGTATTTTTCTAAAATTATCCCCATTTCCCCTTAGACTTGGGCTTCCTCTCTCTGTGTGGCTTCACCTCTGGCAGTTGGCTCCATCTCTGGTAGCCATTCTCTGTCAGAATTCCAAAGGTGCCCACAAGCTCAAAAAGGTTGGGGACCCCTGCTCTAAAAGTTCCACTTACTGGAATAAGTTGATCAGTAATCCCTTCTGTCACATGTTCTAGTAAAACATTCCTTTGTATATTGAGTCAAATGTTGTATTTCCCATTCAGAAAAGCTTATGTACTTTGAGGCAGCTACTCACTGGCTGCACATGTGCCCTGACAGTCCCTGTTTTAGGAGCATAACTGTGGCTGTTGATCAAGAATTTTGTAATTACATTAGAATAGTAAAACTGCTAGTACAGTTTAAAATATAAAATTTAATAGTGCTGCCCATTATTAAAACAGCTGAATGCAAGAGAAGCAATTATATAAAGTTGCAGGTAATCCTAGGTATTGGAATACCTTTACTAGTACTGCAGTTGTTTCTGTTCCCATGCTCTCTCCTTTTCTTGGAAATGTAGGTCCAAGTAGGTGACTTCTGCCTACTTTCCTCTTGCATTGATTAAGTCATAAATGTGGTTATGTAAAGTTCTGTTGTTTGAGCTGCCTTGCTTCTCTCTTGAGGTTTTTTTTTTTTTAAAAAAAGGTCCTGTTCCTAGTTTAAAGAAGATACTGCATCTTTTTTCTTGTCTGTAAATGGCTACCTTAGGGTTTGGGGGGTGGGGAGGATAAATTTCTTATTCTGAGTTGATTGCCTAAAATTCATAGGAAACATAATTAACTGCAATGCAAGGGATCCTTGTAAAGTTAACTTTACTTTTAAAGGTCTCTGCCTGTTCTGTTATAAACATTGGAAAGGTGGGTTGTTTACAGATGAGCTGTGAGGACCTGTGCTTGGTCAAGGTTCTGTTGTGAACAAATATCTGTACCATTGAATGAAGTAGTTTTAGTGTTTGGAAGAATCAATTGATGGAAAAATACCTCTGAAACTGGAATGCAAAATAGCACAGTATGTAGGGGGAAGAATCCCTGATGCAAATAAAGCCATAAGATCTTAATAAATAGAACTTTAGTAGCAATAACTGTTTGCATGTAGTAGAAATTAACTTGCATTAGCAAGAATTGTACAGTAGAATAAATGGTACCAACCAAATAGGTTTGTGGCGCTCTGTGCTGCGGGGAGTTGCTTGATGAGATGGGAGTCTTTCTTTAAAAAAAAATAAAATAAAATAGAAAATTCTTCTCAAAGGAACCTGGCATTTGAAGGCTGCAGTTAGATGGTCGGGCATAAACTCCTCAGTAGTTGTTCAGTTTTTCAGAATTGATTGTTCATGAAGGAGTAGATGAACCCCTATTCTGCTTGTCTGTATATAGCATGTAGTTAATGTTTACCTCTGGAATGAAAGGAAACTCTTCCAAGCATGTGAACAAGACTAGGTTTTACTCAGATATGTAATTTGGGACACTTGACCATGGAGACTGTTTAGAGGTGACTATTTTTAAGGAACTGAGTGAAGTACAAAACATCCAGATATGTCTGTTGAAATGCTTGTGGGTGTCTTACATGTGCTTTTATTTATCTGTTTCAAATCTGCTACATGTTTTCACCTAGTTTACAAAGCTACACTTAGACTAGGGAATGGGAAAATAAGGTATAGTAGTAATTCAGTATGCCTGGCAATCTTTCCTTCCACCCATTTTTCCACCATCCTAGAAAGCAATTGCAATTCATACCTCTTTACAGTGCAGGTCACTCTAATCTAATATGCACTTATACTGAAAACCATGGAAACTGTAAGCTCAATTCTGCCTTAAGCAGGATTTAGTTGAAGTATGTAGACCAGAGAGCGGATTTGTCAGTGATGTTGGAATGTATACAGGAACATTATGGCATTGCATATTTTCTTTTAACTGTGAGAGATCCAACATGGCTTCTCTTATGTTCTGGATACCCATTGGCTACCAGCAGCTTAACTTTCTAATTGGATGAAGGAAGCTTCTGTTTTAAAATATTTTTAAAAGTAATTTCCCATCAATCAGTTGTTCTATACATAAGGTCAACAAATTCCGTGTAACTATCTTGCTTATATTATAAAATATATAGGAAACTTAATCTTGCAAAGAAAATTCCTAAGGCTAGATTAGGTAGGGGAATTACTTGCATTTAATTACTCATATGGTTCTTCTGAATACAGATCTTACAGAATCCTGTAGAAGTATCATTGCAGTGGCTGTAGAACTTGCATTGCTTTAAATCTTCTGAGCAGCTGGTTGAGAGTACTGTTCCTTGTCTGCAAAACTGGTGCTAAACTGATATAATGGCCACTGCCCAATTGAATCATAATGGAAAGTTGGTATCCAAAGTTCAGATGTGAGCCTCTTAACTGCAAGGTTTGCTGCCATGGTTTATTGGTGCTACTAAGAAGTCTAGTCAGAATGCATACAATTAATTGCTTCCTTGGAGATGCTTGGCTGACTAGCAGTGTTATTTCAGAGAGTCTTGCAGCCTAGATATGGAAGAATGAGGGACTTTAATATTCTTCAGGGCATTCAAGTAGTTAAACAACTTAAAACTCACTGGCTGTGGCATTTTAAGGTCCTGAAGATATAGTACCAAGACTTTTTTTCTACATTCTCTTTGAGGTATTTAAGCAGGCCTTGGATTTTGTTATGCTTTTCCGATCATTATCCTTTGACTCAAGATCAAAATTTCATTGAAAGCACATTAGTGCTATTCTTTGTGTGGGAGAGTTTGCCTGTGTGAGCTGGTATCTGACTCTCAGTCTTACACTGGCTCCAGCTGCAATTTTATAAGATGAAACTCTTCTTACTAGACTTCCTTTTAGACTTATTGTTCTTTTTTAGCTTTTCAGTTTAGAAACAATAAATTTAGTAGAAATCCAAGCACAAATGGGGGGAAAAGAATACATGGGTGTCTTTCAGAAATTGGTTTTCGGTATACAGTTGTCTGTATGCATATGCTGGGAACCGGAGGACAAAAGCATTCTGTGTCCTCTTCCTCTAGAGAGGCAATGAGTTCTTCCTTTTTCAAAATCAGCAGAGGCATGAGGCTCTTTCTCCAACCGAAAGTAGACTCGAGGAATAAAAACTCATTAGATTCTCTTCACCAGGATGCAGGAAAGAGTTCCTTTGTGTGAAAGGTCTCGTTTGACTGGAATCTGGATAGGAGATGGCTTTATGTCATCACGGGAGGAGGTCTCCAGAATGAACACTCCCTAAATACAAAGATGGGGAGAAGGAGGGGTGTGTGGGGGGAGAGGACATGTTTTAGGAGAATAGGTGAGATGGAGGCTTTTTGAAGCTCTTGCTAGTAGGTTTTATGTGGAATTTTCAAAATGTCTGCAAGTTATAGCACAATATAATGCTCCACAAAGCTTAGCATTTCTTTAGTATCAGATAGTGTTGCAATTTATCTGTTCCTCCATATAGAACAGGTGTTTGCTAAACACAGTAGAAGGCAGTTTGGCTTGTGGAGCCCCAGGATGGAGAACTTGCATCGAAAAGTGAACAGTGGCACAAGCACACAGGCTCACAAACCAAGTCTTTTATAGAGCTAGTATTCTAATTATGCATGATTAAGATGTCTAGTGTTATAGTTATTATCAGTAAATTGAGATATGCATTTATACATAATGAAGCAATAGGAACTAATATACCAATAGCTTGAATTTACTGCTTTGATTCTCAGATTTTGTTTTTAGAAAACATGCTACCCCTTTAGAAAAGGGGCAGAGTGTATAAATAATGGAAGAAGCATGACACCAAAACTGTGTATTGGAAAGAAGAATCAGCAGAACAAAGCCCTATTAACCTCTTGCCAAGTTCAGGGATCCCCTGTACCTGCATAAAGCTGGGGCATAAACTGAGCAAGGTTAGTGGTAAGATGGGTTTCTTAACTGCTGTGGTTGTACAAATAAAAAGGTGCAGAGTTTCAGAGTGTGTGTGTGTTGGGGGGGAGGGAACAGGTTAAACCCAAAAAGGACTTAGTAGTAGTGTAGAAGGAACGGGAACCTTAGTCCAGAGCCTGTGGCACACAATACAGTAAGCAATCTATACTCTTCAGGGGTTGAATTGATTTTAAGGACATGTGGTTTTTTCAGGTTTCTTTAATCACCTGGGCAGCTAAATCAAGGTGAACTGGTTTTATACCAGAAACAATGGTACAAAAACTAATCTGAAAATTGGAGTTCTTGTGTAGCTTAGGTTCTGACAGATGCTTACATTAAAGCA